TAAACGCCATGTTAAACACCACCCTGCACCACGTGGTGTTTATTAAAATTTGCTCAAAACATGGTTCGGTACCCCATATGACATGACTCTAACATTGTCTGGTATTAGATTGTTTATTTGGGAAAATGAAAAAAAAACAACAATCATAAACCTAAATTATAAACTTTCTGGAATGTCAAATTATAGCCACTTCATAGTACCAAAAAAGGGTCACGTCCCACTTTATATGGAAGTTATGTAAAAAATGGTCTTACTTCGAAAAATTTCGCCAAATATATTTTTTATACCCTTCACCACACTGTGGTACAGGGTATTATGTCTTTGTGCATATGTTTGTAACAGGCAAAAGGAAACGAGATAGACACATGGTTCCTTTTGAGAATATGCATAGAATCACTTTTTAAGTCGAATTATGCATGTCCGTCCGTCCGTCCGTCTATCCGTCTGTCTGTCCATGTTAAATTGTAAACAAAGTACAGGTCGCATTTATGATCCGAATTGGATGAAATTTGGCATAGGTCACTTATTCGGCCTAAGGACGAACCCTATTGAAATTGGGAAAAATCGGTTCAGATTTAGATATAGCTCCCATATATATATTTAACCGATTTAATGTAAACGGTCCCTATATATCATCCGATTTGCACAGCCTAATTTCGGTACAGAGTACTGAATTAAGTCTAAAATGATGTGTGCCAAATTTCGAGAAAATCGGATCAGATTTAGATATAGCTCCCATATATAGTTTCGTCCGATTTAATGTAAATGGTGCACCAAAGTCCCTTCATATCTTTCGATTTGCATATTTATACTGAATTAGGTCCAGAATGATGTGTGCCAACGAAATCGGTTCAGATTTAGATATAGCTCCCATATATAGTTTCGGCCGATTTAAGGTAAATGTGGCACCAAAGTCCCTCTATATCTTTCGATTTGCATGAAATTTGGCACAGAGTACTGACTGAGGTCCAGAATGATGTGTGTCAAGTTTCGGGAAAATCGGTTCAGATTTAGATATAGCTCCCATATATAGTTTCCTCCGATTTAAGGTAAATGGGGCACCAAAGTCCCTCTATATCTTTCGATTTGCATGAAATTTGGCAGAGAGTACTGAATTAGGTTCAGAATGATGTGTGCCAAACTTCGAGAAAATCGGTTCAGATTTAGATATAGCTCCCATATATAGTTTCCTCCGATTTAGGATAAATGGTGCACCAAAGTCCCTGTATATCTTTCGATTTGCATGAAATTTGGCACAGAGTACTGACAGAGGTCCAGAATGATGTGTGTCAAGTTTCGAGAAAATCGGTTCAGATTTAGATATAGCTCCCATATATTGTTTCGTCCGATTTAAGGTAAATGGGGCACCAAAGTCCCTCTATATCTTTCGATTTGCATGAAATTTGGCACAGAGTACTGACTGAGGTCCAGAATGATGTGTGTCAAGTTTCGGGAAAATCGGTTCAGATTTAGATATAGCTCCCATATATAGTTTCCTCCGATTTAAGGTAAATGGGGCACCAAAGTCCCTCTATATCTTTCGATTTGCATGAAATTTGGCAGAGAGTACTGAATTAGGTTCAGAATGATGTGTGCCAAACTTCGAGAAAATCGGTTCAGATTTAGATATAGCTCCCATATATAGTTTCCTCCGATTTAGGATAAATGGTGCACCAAAGTCCCTGTATATCGATTTGCATGAAATTTGGCACAGAGTACTGACAGAGGTCCAGAATGATGTGTGTCAAGTTTCGAGAAAATCGGTTCAGATTTAGATATAGCTCCCATATATAGTTTCGTCCGATTTAAGGTAAATGGTGCACCAAAGTCTCTATATATCTTTCGATTTGCACGAAATTTGGCATTGCGTAATGAATTAATGAATGTGTGTTTAGTTTCGTGAAAATCGGTCCAGATTTAGATATAGCTCCATATATATCGTCCGATATATATATATATACGCTTATAATAGATTTTCATAATTTGAATCCCTGGTCCTTTAAAAATTCGACGTCTTTTAGGTTTCATCTGTTGGATATACCGAAAGTGGTGAAGGGTATCATATAGTCGGCCCCGTCCGACTTTACTGCTTTCCTTACTGGTTTTTTTTCTGGATATTTTCAAAATTTTCCGTCTATTTGATTTTATACCAAAAAATTTGCAGTTTTTCGATTCCACATAGACCTATAGATTTTTTTATGTTTCACGCTATGAGCTTTAATGTTAAAGAAGTGTCAGTATATCTGTGAACGGGGGAACTTGTTCTAAACGCCATGTTAAACACCACCCTGCACCACGTGGTGTTTATTAAAATTTGCTCAAAACATGGTTCGGTACCCCATATGGTGACTCTAACATTGTCTGGTATTAGATTGTTTATTTGGGAAAATGACAAAAAAAAAACAACAATCATAAACCTAAATTATAAACTTTCTGGAATGTCAAATTATAGCCACTTCATAGTACAAAAAAAAGGGTCACGTCCCACTTTATATGGAAGTTAGGTAAAAAATGGTCCTACTTCGAAAAATTTCGCCAAATTTATTTTTTAATTACACCCACTTGGGTGTTACTTTGGACCAAATCCGTTTCAGAAAATTTGGAGTCGATTTACGCATGTCCGTCCGTCCGTTGTCCGTCTGACTGTCTGGCTGGTGCGCACGATAACTCTCGAAGGGAATTATCGATTTCATCAAAACTTTGCACTTAATATTTCTTCCAAACTAAATTTAAGTTCGAAGATGGTGAATATCGGTTCACTCCTTTTCCTTATTTTAAATTCAATATCAGCCTAATGGAATGTCCGATCTGAACCAAACTTTGCACAACCTATTATCTCTACTAAGCCTAGATGAAGTTTAAAGATGGTACCCATTGGTCCACTCCTTCTGGAAGTTAAGTTTTTTTAAGTTTTTTAGCACTTTCTAGCATTTTATATATATGCAAAATTTTGTCTCAATCGGAAAAATATTGGGATTTTGTGGCACCATTTACCTAAAATCGGACGAAACTATATATGGGAACTATATCTAAATCTGAACCGATTTCAACAAAACATAATGTACACCAAGATGGGCCTAATTCAGTACGCTATGCAAAATCTTGGTTAAATCGGACAAATATTGCGAGTTTGGTGCACAATTTATCTAAAATCGGACAAAACTATATATGCGAGCTATATCTAAACCTGAACCGATTTCCACAAAAATTCGCTGTACAAAATTTTGTTACAATCGGAAATATATTGGAATTTTGGTGCACCATTTACCTAAAACTGGACGAAACTATATATTGGAGCTATATCTAAATCTGAACCGATTTTTACCCAGTTTCAATATGGTTCGTCCTTGGGCCAAATAAGTGACCTATGCCAAATTTCATCAAATTCGGATTATAAATGCGACCTGTACTTTGTTTACAATTGAACATGGACAGACAGACGGACAAACGGACTGACGGACATGCATAAATCGTCTTAAAAAGTGATTCTATGCATATTCTCAAAAGGAACCATGTGTCTATTTCGTTTCCTTTTGTCTTTTACAAACATATGCACAAAGACATAATACCCTGTACCACAGTGTGGTGAAGGCTATAATTAATAGCATACTTTTAGGTTACAAACAAACTATAAAAATTTCAAAATTTACATTTTATGCATATTAACAATTTTAAATATATATTTGTTTAGTCTATGAAACACCACAAAAGTAGGCTCTGCTTATTAAAAATATTCGACAATTAAAATTTTTAATTAATTTTTATTTTTCCCCCCAAAATTATGTGGCAAATTTCTAAATTACATATAATGGTTCTTTTTGCAAAAAATAAAATGAAATAAAAATCCGTAGCATACTTTTAGGTTACAAACAAACTATAAAAATTTCAAAAAATTCATTTTATGGATATTACGAATTTTAAATAAAAAAAAAAATATTTCTTTAATCTCATAATTTACAGTCAACTTTATAGTAAAAATGTCTAGCTCCCTAAAGTATGCAACATTTTTTAATTAGTTTTTAAGGCTTTAAAACAATGGTAGAGACATGGATTTTGAACTCGTTGAACTATTTTAATCAGTAAAAATACAGTTTACACTCCATATGTTTAATTGATTATAAAAGCTCCCAAATATAGGCAATGGTTTTTAAAAACCATTTTACAATGCTTTAAAAAAATAATGTGAAATAAAAGTCCTTGTCCTATTTTTGTATGGGGCTCTTAATTTTTTTTTTTTAGTTTTTAGCATACTTTTAGGCTATTAATAAAAAACTATTATATTATATGAACTAAGAATCGTATGCAGAAGCTGTGAATTTTGTCAATTTTGTTTCAAATTGTATAGCACACAATTAGGCTATTAATAAAAAGCTGTTATATGAAATGTGAATATTCATGGATAATAATTTGCAAAGAAGGTGTAAGTATAATATAAATATAAAATATTTCCCCAAGCAAAATTTCAACGTATAGCCATTGTGAAATGAAAATACAAAAAATGAAGAATACAAATAACCAAAAATATCCTGCCGAATTATATTTAAAGTAAATAGTCTGGATTGATGAATTATTAGAAACTGTTCATCAACAGGCATTTACTTTGACTATAGTTTTTTGTACGTTTGGCAAAAATCATCAGGAAAAAAATTGTTTTAAATAAAATTAAAAAAAAATTAAAATCAAAAAAAAAATTAAAATTAAAAAAATTAAAATAAAAATATATAAAATGTTCCATTTTTTAATATACAATTTAGTTTTTTATATATTAATTTTGAAAGAAATAATTTTCAATTTTTTCCTTTTTTATTTTAATTTTCCAATACTTTATTTAAATGCCTATGCTTTTGAAATTGTTAATTGCATTCATTACTTGTGTGTGGCCAGCAAACAATACTAATTGAATATTTTTTTTCTCTCTCTTGTTCTATTTTTTCTCCTTCTCTTTTCTCCCTCTTCACCTTTATCCACTGCTCCATTTGCGACGTGCCATCTTATTATAGTTCGCCAAGAAAACGAACGTATTATGAAGGAAACAATGGATCGGGCTCGTTTTGGTAAGAATTATACGGAGGCGGCTTCTTCATTGCTGGCGGCAACTACCTCATCCTTGGTCTCAGCGGTGGCGGCGGGGGCAGCAGGTGGCCAACAACAGCATCAGCAGCAGCTTCATGGTGAGGCCGTAGCCTATGCCCAGCCGTTAGTACAGGACCCGAATGGACCGGCACTAATGATGCCGGCTCAATACCAGGCGGAACAGCAGCTACAACAACAACAACACCATATGCCTCATTTGCAGCAGATTCCATAACAAACGAAACAATTGTTGTGGACATGACCGACCGACCATCATCATCAACAATGACAGCGCCTTAAAGCAACACCAGTGACAGCAGCGACAACAACAGTAGTAATTTTTAATGACCAAAGAACAACAACAACAGCAAAGGAGATGATATAATGAAATTAATTTGTTAAATGGATATAAATGTTGACATTGCACAAAAACCAAACTCAAATAACGATGACTATGACGAGCAAGAATATGACAATGACTACGACAACGACAACGACGATGATGATGATGATTATGGCAATGATCAACGATATACCAGCAGCTGAAGCATTCCGCAATAACAACAACAACATCAATAGTAATAATAAGCATCATGTTGTTGTTAGCCAAGCATGTTGCCTGTCTTTAGGATATCCATATTCTACCCAAAAAGGCAACAATACGATGTTGGGTAAAAATTAACAGAATTGACATGGGCCCTGAAGACAGCCAGTCAGTCAGCCAGCTATAACACCACCACCACCCACAAATTACAACAACATATTTCAAAACAACAACAACAAAACAAAAACGTGTGCTATCTCTATTTCGGCACACATACACAGTAAATGGCCAAACTAACTGAGGGCCAAGAACAGTTCGATAAACATAATGCAAGCATCCCAGCAGGCATCGAAGTAAAAACCCATAGAACCCTGCTGATGCCATAACAACAGTATTTTGTATATACTATGTAAGGCTGGATGTGTGTGTGTGTGTGCCGGCATGGCACTTTTACTCAATACTTTTACCTATATATTTTCTTGCTTTATATACATTTCACCTAGTGACTTAGTTTTGCAGATCAGCTCGTATATTCCGGCCCACCTAAAAAACACATGCACAAAATGAGAAAAAACAACAACAACAAAAAGTAAAATTTTTGCAAAAGAAATTTCTTTTTTTTTTTTGTAAATGGCAAAAACTCGGCTTTTAGTAATAAACATCCCAAAAATAGGCAACACTTTTTTAAACAGCAAAAAAAAAAAGAATTCAGAAAAAATCCTAGGTTATGATTTGATAATATTTTATAGACATATTTGAATTACAAGTTATGCATAAAAAGAGCCCCCAAAAATAGGCAATAGTTTTTTAAAAATTTCAAAGTTTGGGTAATTTTAAAAATATCACACTAAATTTTTTTAAAGAACTTTTCTCTATATTCCCAAACATTTGTTTGCTAAGCTTCTAATAATAGGGACACTTTAATACTCACATAAAAAAACAAAAAAATGCTGCCTACTTTTAGGATTTTATAAACAAACAAAAAATGCTGCATACTTTTAGGCAGCATTTTGCGCACAAAAGCCCTAAACTGTTTACAAAAGAAAGATCCTTCCTTTTTTTGGCAAAAATATACTTTTAGTAAAAAAACAGCCTAAAAGTAGGCAATAACTTTTTCAAACCGAAAAAAATCAGAAAAAATCATTTGAATTACAGACAAATAGAATTATAGACAAATTTGAATTATGGACAAATTTCAATTACATATGCATCAAAAAACCCCCAATATTTTTTAAAAAAATTTCAAAATGTTGGTTAATTTAAAAAAAATCACACTGATTTTTTTTAAGAATTATTATTAATTTTCTTAAACTATTCTCTATAAGAAAATGCTGCCTACTTTTAGGATTTTATAAATGACAAAAAATATTGCATACTTTTAGGCAGCATTTTGCACAAACTAGAAACAACAATAACAAAAGTCCTAAAATTTTTACAAAATAGATTTCTTTCATTTTTTTGTAAATGGCAAAAATATGTTTTTAATAATAGACAGCCTAAACGTAGGCAATACCTTTTTTTAAACCATAAAAAAAGTATTCAGAAAAAATCATGGGTAAAGATTTAATAATATTTTATAGACAAATTTGAATTACATACTACAAATTATGCATAAAACTCCACTCAAAAGTATGCAATATTTTTAAAAAATTTTTCAAAATTTTGGTTAATTTAAAAAAAATCACACTGGGTATTTTTTTAAGAATTATTATCTATTCGCGTAAACTATTTTCTCTGTTCCGAACATTTTGTTGTTAAGCTTCTTATAATAGGAACACTTAAACACTCATATAAGAAAATGCTACCTATTTTTGGGATTTTATAAACGATAATAAACAGCCTAAAATTAGGCAACTTCTTTTTTAAACCATAAAAAAAGAATTCAGAAAAAATCATAGGTTATGATTTAATAATATTTTATAGACAAATTTAAAATACATACTACAATATATGCATAAAACAACTCCCAAAGTAGGCAATAGTTTTTTAAAAAAAATTAAAAATTTTGGTTAATTAAAAAAATCACACTTGGTATTTTTTAAGAATTATTATTTATTTTACGTAAATTATTCTCTAAATTTCGAAAATATTTTTGTTAAGTTTTTATAATAATCTTAACATCTGAATACTCATACAAAATACAAAAATATGCTGCCTACTTTTAGGATGCTATAAACAACAACAGAAAGTTGCCTACTTTCAGGGTGTTTAGTCCACAATGAAAAACTATTTAATAAAAATTGTTAATAAAATATTACCATAACATATTCTTTGATTTACTAAAGCCTTTTTATATATTATTTTAATTTTAATTGCCTACTTTTAGGCACTCTTATATAATAAGCTGCCTAAAAGTAGGCAATGTTAAAGAGAAACATCAAGAAGACTTTAGTAAAACAAAGAACATTTTTTGTAATCTAAAGAAAATGATGTGAATGACTTTTTTGGAGACAAATACCCTTAGGTTGGACGCTACAAGAACACACGTTGGGCGCCATTTATAATTTTATGAGATTTGAACATTTTGAGAGGGATCATAGCAGCCATTTTTTGGCTTAGCGAAGGTTCTTAAACACAAATTGTCTCTTCAAAAAAGACTTCTAGACCATATCAGTTTATTTTGGAATCTGAAGGAACCCATGTTGGGCGCCATTTGTTGTTTTATGCGCTTAGAAAATTTTAAGAGGACTCATGGCAGCCAACTTTTGGCTTAGGGGAGATTCTTCAAATCAAATTGTCTTTTTAATAAGACCTCTAGACCATATACATTTATGTTGGAATCTGAATGCGTCCACGTTGGGCGCCATTTATTGTTTTATGCGTTTAGAAAATTTGAGAGAACTCTTAGCAGCCAACTTTTGTTTTAGCGGAGGTTCTTAAACACAAATTTTCCTTTTGAAACGACTTCTAGATCATATACACTTATGTTGGAATCTGAAGGTGTTCACGTTGGGCGCCATTTATAATTTTATGCGATTAGAAAATCTTAAGAGAACTCATGGCAGCCAACTTTTGGCTTAGGGGAGATTCTTAAACACAAAGTGTCTATTTAAAAAGAGTTCTAGACCATAAACATTTATGTTGGAATCTGAAGGCGCCCACGTTGGGCGCCCCTGTTAAAAAGACTTCCAGACCATAAACCTTTATGTTGGAATCTGAAGGCACCCACGTTGGGTGCCATTATTGGTTTCATGTGATATACATATTTTGAGAAATCAATTGCTTAGAAGATTTGGAAACATTGTATGCTTATGTCAGACCAAAAAATTACAGTCGTTGGGCGCCATTTATGGATCTATGGATTATTTAAAAAAAATGATTGAGAATATCATAGAAGCTGATTACTGGCTTTGGGAAGATTCTCAACTAAAAATTATCGCTTAAAAGATACTTGTAGACCAGATAAGCTTGGTTTGGACCTTAAAGGGATACACGTTGGGCGCCATTTATGGATCAATATGATTTAAAATGTTTGAGAATATTAAAGAAGACGATTTACTGGCTTAGCGAAGTTTCTCGCTTAGTTTGGACCCTAAAGGGACACACGTTGAACGCCATTTATGGATCTATATGATTTAAAATCTTTGAGGAGATCATAGAAGCAGTTTACTGGCGTAGCAAAGATTACCAACTAAAACTGATCGAACTGAGAGACATGTAGACCATATACGCTTAATTTGGACCCTAAAGGTATACACGTTGGGCGCCATTTATTATTTTTTGCTATTTAAAATGTTTGAGAATGTCATAGCAGCCGTTTGCTGGCTTAGCGAAGGTTCTTAAATAAAACTTTTCGACTTTGAAACATTATATACCTATACACGTTGGGCGCCATTTATTGTTTTTTGCTATTTACAGGTTTTGACAATGTAATAGCAGCCGTTTATTGGCTTAGCGAAAGTTCATAAATGAACAAGACTTCTAGACCATATGGGAATTAGTTGGAATCCGAAATAACCCACGTTGGTAGTCATTTATTATTTTCAACTAAAAATTATCGCTTTAAAGAGACTTGTACACCATATACGCTTAGTTTGGACCCTAAAAGGACACACGTTGGGCGCCATTTATAGTTTTTAGATAATTAAAAATTTTGAGCATCACATATGCTTATGTCGGACAAAAAACAAAAGACACCCGTTGGGCGCCATTTATGGATCTATATGATTTAAAATGTGTGGGAATATCATAAAAACCCATTACTGGCTTAGCGAAGATTCTCAACTAAAAATTATCGCTTTAAAGAGACTTGTAGACCATATACGCTTAGTTTGGACCCTAAAGGGACACACGTTGGGCGCCATTTATTGTTTTTAGATAATTAAAAAATTTGAGCATCACATAGCAGCGGTTTGGTTGCTTAGCGGAGATACTTTAATTCCCATTTTAATTCTTTAAATTATTTGACATATGAAGACAATTTTTATACTGAATATTCTAATCAGCCCAAAATATGCAATATTTTCTTATTCTTTTTAAAGTTTGGGGTATTGTGAATTTAATTCAAAAATAATATATAACTTCAATTACATAGATAAGGTTCTTAAATTCTCACTTTTTTAAAAACAAGAAATGCAATGTAAAAAATTTATTTATTCTCATTTCACCTAAATTGATTGAATATGTGATCTGGCTTCGCATGCTTTGTTCTGTCCTTGTAAAATATAACAAAAAATGTTTTACAAAATAAA